CTAGGTGGTCTAACCTTCCCTCTGCAATCCACATGGTTACCAGGGGCACTTCCAGCAGCAATGTCTGTACATGATTAGTAGGAGGCAGAGACAACAGGAGTAAAATCAGTGACCACAGTTGAGCCAGTATGTTTTCCTCTGGTTTGCGAATTTTGGTCATTTTTTAGGTAACTGGGTCTCAACTATTTAAACTTGGGAATCTATCTAACTATGCCACCACAAGGTCTAGAGAAGATTGAAAGCCAGTCTGTGGCAGAGTTGTGACCAGCCCTCATATATAACTGAGTCCCTGTATAATCTGTCTCTGAGGCTCAGCCTTCACCTTTACTTACACTTGGATTTCTAAGACGGACATCTACCCTTATAACAAATACCCACTTTTTACTTAAATTAGCTTGAGTCAGTTTCATTCAAGGTCTGTTACCTTTGACCAGAAACTCAGAATCACACAGTTTATAATTGCCTCTGTGGAAATGGGACAGGGTCCAGCTGGGTCATATATTCATTTGCTAGAGCTTCCATAACAAAGTACCATTAGGTGCATGCCATAAATGACAGAAATGCAATGTCTCATAGTTCTAGGCAAGAAGTTCAAAAGTAAAGTGGTGGCAGGGTTGGTTCCTTCAGAGGGCTGTAAGAAAAGGATCTATTCCAGGTCTCTCTTTGGATTGTGGGTGCAATTTTCATGTTCACGTGGCATTCACATGGTGTGCTATGTCTTATTCACATGGTATGTTATGTCCAAATTTCTTTTTTTCATAAGCACTTCAGTCATATTGGATTAGAGCCCAACTTAACAACGTCATTTTAACCTGATTACCTCTGTAAAGATCCTCTCCAATGAGATCACATTCTAAGGTACTGGCAGTTAGGGCTTCAGCATATGAATTTGAAGGAGGATGAAATTTAACCTGTGACTGCAGAGTGGCCCAGCTGAGACCAGAAGTCCAGCGTCATTTGCAAAAAATTAACATTTTATACCCAATATTCAAAGGGCAAGTTGTCTTTGGCAATGGTGCCTGCTTTCTTTGTGAGAATGTGCCTGGGATTCAGGATGGAAAAAAAAAAAAAAAAAAACGGTGCCAACTCTCATTGAACCAAATAGTGAAGTGCAGAAACTTTATGTAATGCTCTTTGGTCTATCACCACCCGTTGAAATGTCAAATGCTCTTAAAATATCTCCTCGGACCCCAGAAGTTGCTTTTCTAAATTCATAAAGTTTTACTTTGCTTTGGTCATTATCTGTGATGGGTTGAATTATTCCCTCCAACATTGACATGTTGAAGCTTCAATCATAGGCACCTCAGAATGTGGATGTTTTCAAAGATAGGGCTTCTAAAGCTATGATTAAGTTAAACAGAGGTTATTATGATGGGTCCTAATACAATCTGAGCAGTGTCCTTGTAAGATGAAGAAATTTAAATGTATAGAGGATTACCAGAGAGGCATGCATACAGGGAAAAGACCAGATGAGGACACAGGGAGAAGGCACAGTTGGTACTTGGAATTGAACCCGAGGGTGCTTTACCACTGAGCCACATCCCCAGACTTTTTTATTTTTTCATTTGAGATAGGGTCTTGTAAGTTACTGAGGGCCTCACTATGTTGCTGAGACTGCCCTCAAACATGCAATCCTCTTGCCTCAGCCTTCTGAGTCCCTGGAATTACAAGCATAAACCACTGCATCTGGCTGACATTTCAATCTTGGACTTATAGATTCTAGAACTATGAGAAAACAAATTTCTGTTGTTTCAGCCACCTAGTCTGTGGTTATTTTGCCACAGACTTAAAATGTGCATTTAAAAATATTATCAAGGAAGGAGAGGCCAGTTTACTATTTTGGCATGATATTGCAAGCTACTTTCAGGGTTAAGCATAGTAGGGGGTTTTCTAGTCTAGAGTCTAATTTGCAGAAGTTAAACATCAAGGCTTGCAATTTCACTCTTTCTACATTCATTTAAAATTTGCTCTGTAGATAATGACACTTCTAAGAAAGTTCTTATAACTCAGGAAATGGCATGTGTTTTAGATAGCTAAATCGAATGTTTTATAAATGTCTTCAAAGGGTCTCTTAAATTTCATGCAGGCACTCTTGGATCCCAAATCTTGTTTTCAAATTTTAGATTCAGAGAACTGCTCAAACATAATTCATTTCACTAAGCTGACAAAAGAATGAGATATAAACTAGGATGTCCAACTTTTTTCTCATGTTGGGGTATTGGCCTTTTAGGGAAAAGTGCACTTGTCTCTGCTGTTTAGGAAAACCCCTTGATATGAAGTAGGTGAATCTTAGCATCACCAGGAGTGGGCCATGGAAGATACTGGGGTATATCCCTATTATGATTTGGAGAAGGTGTCCCCCCAAAACTTGTATGTGAGACAGTGCAGGAGTGTTCAAAGGTGAAGTGTTGGACTGTGAGGGTTGCTAACTTAATTGGTAATTTAATACATTTGATGGATTAACAGTTTAAATGGATTAATGGGTGGATTGGAGGATGTATATCACTGGGATGTATAACTTTGAGGTTGTGCCCTTGGGAAGTATATTATCCCTTGCACTCAAGCTGTCTCTGCTTCCTAGCTGACAAGAGGTGACCAGCTTTCATCAGCTGCCACCCTTCCATCATGTGTTCTGCCTCACCTCAAACCCAGAGCAATGGAGTCAGCCATAGACTGAAACCTTGGAAATTCTGAGCCAAAATAAAATTTTGCTCCTCTAAGTTGTTCTTGACGGATATGATGGTCGCAGTGTTGCAAAGCTGACTAATATAACCATCCATATACCCTCCAGGACTGAAAAACTTATTCGCCAAGACAATGATGGCCAACAGCTCATATCACCTTCACCTAAGATCATGCCTGCTTCGCTCGGGCAGCCTGCTTGCTTTGACTACAGATAGCGGGGTATAAAAATTTGGTCCCCTGCTCCAATTCAGGATAACTCTGCAAGACCATGTGCATTCCAGAGGTCCCTGTGGGATTAGCTTAGGCCTTTGTTGTGATGGCCTGATACCCTGACTTCCTTCTCTATTACATCTTGCTTCATTTATTACACCAAAGGTTGATCCTGAGGACCCCCAACCCCAAATTACTCCATCTCAGAGTCTGCCTCCCAGAGAACCTGTTCTGCAAACATGCATCTCTGTAGGTGCTCTCTCAAAGTATCATTTTTGACCTAAGATAAGTGGAAAAATAAATACAATAATAATGATGGCTATTATTTGCTCAGCAGGGCCTGGACTAGATCCTGGGGATAAAAAGATGAATAAGATAATTTCCCTTTCTTTGAAGTAAATTGCGCTGGGATGTATGTAACTCAGTGGTGGAGCACTTGCCTAGCATGAGTGAAGCACCACAAAAAGTTACAAAACAAAAAAAGCTTTCATGTGAATAGATTTTAACAAAGTCACATAGTCACAGTAGAGGTGGCTCAAGGTAGAGTCAAAAGAGGCTTCCTTCCTGGAGATGATGCCTAATTTTGGAGGAATTAGTAAGCATCCTCAAAGGAAGGAAGGCTAAGATTAATATTCCAGGCAGATAAAAATATGAGCTCTGTTGTTGAATGTACCAGAATGTGGAGCAAGCAGGGAGATGTTTTCCAACATCCAAATTCAGTTCATTTAGTTAACTAGTCACAGTTACAGATAGAGCGAGTAGGTGGGTTGATAGGTCACATCACAGGATTCTTAGGGCCTTTAAGGGTCTTCATCCTCTAGTGTTTAAGAGAAAGGTGAATATGGAAGGAGGGCAGTAGTCTTACTGACCTCTCCACTGTTCTTTACTTAGGCACTGGGGAGATATATTCTTTCATCAAGCATGCCCAGAGATTTTTCCTCCATACCACACACTCATCAATAGGACATGAGAGAGTCCCTACATCTGACTTCTTCTCTTTGGCCCAAGGTCTCATCAGTGTTTCTGCCAATCTGTTCCACACCATGGCCTCACTTATTCTTTCTAACCTCTTTTCTCTGGAAAACAGGCACCAAAAATTTGATGTAATACACTTAATAATCATAGGCATTGGCCACCATGTGTTTCTAGTACAGTTTGGATCTGGAATGTCCCCCAAAGGCTCATGTGTTCAAGGTTTGGTCTACAACACAGCAATGTTCAGAGGTAGAGCTTTGGAAAGTGGCTAGATCTAGTAGATCTAGTAGAGGACTCTAACCTTATCAATAGATGAATCCTTCGATAGAGTCACTAAATGAACTATTGAAAGGTGTAGAAGGTAGAATCTAGTTGGAGGAAGTAGATCCTTGTGGGCATGACCTTGGAGGACTCTCACTTGTGCCCAGATTCCTCTTCTCTCTCTGCTTCCTGGCTGACATGAGGTGAGCAAGTTTGCTATGCCACAGTCTCCCTGCCAAAATGTTTTGCCTCACAACAGGCTCAGAGTCCATGCAGCCAAGTGACCATGGACTGAAACCTGAGCCAAAATAAATCTTTCCTCCCCTGAGTTGTTTACCTCAGATATTTTGTCATAGCAATGCAAAGCTGACTAACAGTTTCCCACAAGGAAACTTGTTGTTTCCTGGACTTGTCGTTGAAAACATTTTTAAAGAGTTTCCCATAAAAATAATGTATTGTACTTTTTAAAAGCAAGTTGAAAGATACTGTATAATTATGTTTTGAATAATATTTATGTATGTATAGGCACAAAAAAATTATTTTGGAATGATTCACCCAAAGATAATATATTAGAATCATATGCAAAACTTTTTTCTTTTTGTTTATCTAAACATTCTAATTCTTATACCACCAAAATATATTTCTTTTGTAATAAGATGAAATATTTCAGCTGCTAAAGGGGTACAAAATCAAAAGAGCTACAGTTTCTGAAAGTTTGACACTTATATTCTATGTCTCCAGAAGAAGGCAAGAAACTTAACTTTCTTTGTTTCAGACATTTTTGTCTTGTTTCTTGTATTTAATCCTCACTGTGATCCTGCAAAGTGGATAGCATTATTCCCATTTTGCAGATGCGAAAACTTGAGGCTCAAGGAGATTACAAGGTAGTCTAAATTATATAACTAGTACAAAGCAGCTGGGATTAGACTAGATTCAACTAATCCCATTGTCCATGCTCCCTCCACTTGACTGGACAGCTTTCAGCAGTGATAGAAAGTGCAGGAGCCCTGGTTTTACTCATCACCCTCCACAGTGCATTGTACACAATTAGCCTGCAATACCTGCTGTACCTAAGAGAATGAAGTCAAGTTACTTTATCTTATAGGCCAGGGAAGGAGTGCCATGTCAGGCGCTCAGACACTCTACTCTCTCTCTTTATTCATCCTGAGTCAAAGCCAATGGCTCTGAGCTTCTTTAACAACTGCAATGCAAAGAGCTGTGTCTTTTAAGATTAAATGTGGGTTGCATTCTCCATGCTTGTAGTAAAGGTCATTATGAGGGTGACTGAGAACCCTTTAGTAATTCTTAAAGGAAGTCTCTACATCATGGTCAGAGGACAATTGGTCTCTGATTTCAACAACCGGCCAAGCATCACAGTTTGCCTCAATTGCCCTTTGTTTTCCTGTCCTGCTGGGTATTTTGTTAAGCATTAGTTGGACTTTGATTCCCCTTCATACCAAGGAGCTTAAGGTAATTTATTTACAGTCTCTCCCTGCTGTCACATTTCTGAGAAGAACACAATTGTTAGACATTGTTTTTGCATCATTAAAAAGGACATAGGGAGAAATTACATACTGCACCTTACAAAATAAGTTGTACCGAGTGACACAGGGTGAGTGACTGGCAGGAAGCCAACACTGCAGGAAAAGAAGCAAGTTGAACAGATGTGGATGTGCACTGACACTTAGGGAGTGGAGGGGAGAGTATGTGGAAGGAAAGGTAATAGAGGGAAAGTATCTCCACTAACAACAACAAGGACTCTGTGACACTCTTACAAGGGGCCAGACCCTGGACTGCACTTGGGTATGTGATTCATTCTCACAATCTCCTGCTTGTGAACAAACATCAGATCAACTTTGCCAGGCTCTGAAAATTATACAGTTTAAGGGGTGGGGGAAGTTGTTAGACTACAAAATTACAAACCCATGATGCCTAAGGCTCTCCTGTGAGGACACATATATATGAGGTATCTTAAGGCGTTCACTCTCCAAGGTTCATGGCAAATCCACAGACCCTCTGAAGCATGTATTGTCCATTATACACATGAGGAAGCTCAACAAGGTTAAGTAACTCATCTAGTCAAGGAGCAAAGATGCTAAGCAGTCTTCAAAAATCCTTCAAGAACCTTCCAAAGTCCCCAAATAGGCAAACTCCTATTTGTTATGAGGACAAATTCTGTTGAAGCAGCAGCACATAACATATTGATGTGGTTCTGTGAGTTTCTTGGAAGAGCCCAGACTCTGTCAGAACTTGCAGAGTTTGCAGGTAGGGAATCCTCCAGGACTTCTGTAGGAATTTGTATCTTTCAGCTTCACAGAGCATATATGAAAAGCCACTGTTGAGGGAGAAAGACAGGTTTTAATGATCCTTTTTAAGATCACTGTGAATACTGTCAAAATTAAAGTAGACTCATTTTTGTCAAACTCTATCAACAATAACCCAATAATAGCAAATAAGTGCCAGAGGTCATGAAGGAGGGGATCTCGTGCACAGATGCCTGATAACAGAACTAGCACAAAAGACTATTAGAACCACAGCACAAAGCACAAAGGCTGCCACGACTTCACCTGCCTGTTTAACCATGGAATGACGCCATCTTTATTATAGATCCTTGTAGCCAAGCATAATTGTTTCCAAGCAACTCAGGAAGTCATCCTCATTTTGCCTTTAAACATTTCCCTTTGCCTCAACCTTTTTGAACACACAGGTTTCTTTCTCATTACAATGCTCCCTGCTCATTCCCCAATAAATATCATTATGTTTGGACTCTGTGTTTGCTTTTTTAGTTTGATAAGATGCCAACTCCCGCACACTTGCATGTTTGCATGTGTGAAAGCCAAAACACAATTCTGCAGGCCTCCAATGAAATGGCGTGACAGCTGCCTGAGGGCAGAATGATGTGAGTGTGCTGAGGTAAGGGAACAGAGATTTGCTCCCCTGGCATCTGTGTGCTTCAGGAATGGCTGGGGTAAGACAGGCTTAGAGGATGTGAATTAATGCACAGTCGGTGTCCCCTACAGAACTTGAAGGCTATACCATGGTCCCTGAATCAGAGTTAAGTATCAAGTGACCTTCTGGGACCTGGAGTATGGTGGCTACTCAAGCTTGTATGCAGTTTACCAGGCTGCCTTTTCATGAATGTACCCATGAAAAGATCAGTGGATTCTTAGATGGCTTTCCTTCCTTCTGTTCTTCTACTTCCCTCTCCTCCTTTCCTTCTTTCATCACTTCTTTCTTTCCTCCTTCAACAAATACTTAGAAAGTGCCTATAATATGTCAGAGGTTACACAAGATGATTAAGATATAAAAATAACTAAACACAATCCTTGTATGCCTAGTCATGTTGAGGAGGGACCCCCCTAGAAAATGAACAGCTCTAACAATAATACACTTTGATAAGGAGAGTGGGCAGGTGGGGAGAAGAAAGAGGATAAGTTCACCTAAGAAAGTAACATATAAGCTGAGTCTCTTGAGAATTGCAATAAAAATAATAGCAGATAACTTGGATGGGATGCCAGGCAAGGTTCTAAAGTCTTTATAGTACTGTCTTATGCTGCATAACTTTTCAGTCAACAATGAAGCACATATATGACCAGGGTCCCGTAAGATTATAATGGAGCTGAAAATTTTCTATTTCCTAGTGATACTGTGTCTGTGATAATGCCATAGTGCAACACATTGCTCATGTGTTTCTGATGATGTAAACCAACACAGCACTGCCAATTGTGTAAGATTATAGCACATATAACTATGTGCAGTACATAATACTTGACATAAAGAATTCTCACTGCTTTATGTATCTACTATGTTATGTTTTTATCTCTGTTTTAGAATGTATTTCTCCTACTTTTTGGAAAAAAAAATATTTACTTGAAGTTGGGCATGGTGGCATACCAGCTTGAAGGCTGAGGCAAGAGGATCACAAGTTCAAAGCCAGCCTCAGCAAAAGCACTAAGCAACTCAGTGAGACCCTGTCTCTAAATAAAATACAAAATAGGGCTGGGGATGTGGCTCAGTGGTTGAGTGCCCCTAAATTGAATACCTCAGTAACCATCCCCCCAAAAAAACGTTTACTTGAAACAGTGTGCCATGTTAGGCTGGAAGACGCCTTGTATATCTCATGTTTACTGCATCTCTTAAATATATCAAAAAGCATATCAAGTGACTGACATACACAATCAAGATTTGTGTAACTACACTCTGTAATGTTCACACATTGTCAAAATTGCCTGATTCGTTTCTCAGAAGCACTCTGTCATTTTAGGAGCCCAACACTAAACTCGTGCAATGGGTCCATAAAACAACCTAGGGGAGGATGTGCCATCCTTATCCTCTATTTAGAAATGACAACACTCTACCATGGGAAAATAAAAGGTTTGCCAAAGTTTAAGGCACAATGGCCCAGACTTCGAGCTATAAGTTTACCAACGAATTTTTTCCTTTACTTCCTGGGCACATAGCTAGACATTTTCAAGATTCCCTTGTAATAAAGTGGAGCCAAGTAATTCTAGATAATCGGTTATGAGCAGAAGTGACATGCATCACTTCCAGGCCTGTTCCATAAAAACTCCCCACATTTATCCTCTAAATACCCCAACACCATTTTCTGGATATCTGGAAAGGATAACCTTGGAGCACATGTGAAAATGCTACCTCTCCATTAGATTAGGTCCCTAGTCAAAGCACAGCTTGTGACACTGATTATTCACCTGTCCGGCACTGTTATCTGAGCAAGAAATAAACTTGTTGTGTGTGAAACATTATAGACCTTTGGGTCTTTTTAAGTTATAGCAACAATTTAGCCTATCTTATGAATATATTTTATAAATTATTTATATTTGAGGAGTGATTACCGGGGATTGAAGCCAGGAGTGTTCTACCACGGAGCTAGACCCCCCGCCCCCGACATACACATCCCTTTTTTGTTTTTTACATTTTAAGAGAGGACCTTGCTAAGATGTCAGTTCTGGCCTTGAACCTGTGATCGTTCTGTCTCAGCCTCCTAAATCACTGGGATTTACAGGAGTGCACCATAATTCTTTTTTCTGTATTTTATTGATATACTATAATTATACATAACAGAGGGATTCTTGTTACATGTTCCTGCATGCAGAAAATATAACAATACAATTTGGTCAATATCATTCCCTAGTATCGCCCCTCTCATTCCTTTCCTCTACTCCCTTTAATTTTCATGAGATACATCCCTACTTTTCTTTCTTTTCTTTTCCTTTTTCTTCTCTAGCTTCCACACATAAGACAAAACATTTGACACTTGCCTTTCTGAGTTTGACTCATTTTACTTAACACAATGTTCTCAAGTTCCATCCATTTTCATGCAAATGACATATTTTCATTCTTCTTTATGGCTAAATAAAACTCCATTGAGTATATATATACCATTTTTTTCTTCATCTATTAATCTACTGGTGGACACCTAGCCTGGTTCCATAGTTGAGATATTGTACTACTATAAACTTGAGTAGGTATGCATGTAGTATGCTGACTTTAATTCTTTAATATCAAAGAGTGATATAGCTAAATCATATGGTGATTTCATTCCTAGTCTTTTGAGGAACCTCTATATGGATTTCCATAGTGGCGTATTAATCTACAATCCTACCAAAAGTGTAAAATTATTCCTTTCCTCCACATTTTCTCCAGCATTTATTATTATTTGTATTATTGATGTCTGCTATTTTAACTAGAGTGAGATGACATCTCAGTGTAGTTTTGATTTGTAATTCCCTAATTGCTAAAAATATTGAACATATTTTTCATACATTTGTTAGTCATTTGTATTTCTTCTGAGAAATCTCTGTTTACTCTAATTGATCATTTTTTAATTGGTTTAATTGGGTTTTTTGGTTGCACCTGTTTTGAGTTTTTTATATATTCTGGATATTTTGATGCCATCCCACTTGTTTATTCTTACATTTTCTCCTAGAAATTGCAAGGTTTTGGTCTAAATCCTCAACTTGGATCCATTTTGAGTTGCTTTTTGTAAGGGTGAGAGATAGGGACACAGTCTCATTAATTCTACATACGGATAACCACTTTTCCCCCAGAAACATTTGTTTAAAAGGCTGTCTTTTCGCCAACATATGTTTAAGCACATTTTTCAATGATCAGATAACTGTATCTGTGTGGGTTTGTCTCTGTGCCTTCTATGAATGAATATTTAAAGAGTAAATTATAATTAATATAGGTACATAGGGAGAAGTGGCAGAAAATTAAGTTAAAAATATAAACAAAGTGTGTTGTACATCATATCAAAAAGTTTATCTTGAGATTAAAAATGGTGGATTAGAGGAAGCCTGCACTTACCAGTTGCTCCAAGGCTCAGAATCTAGGCAGCAAGAAGGTGAGTGATAGAGGGAATTCACTGTAATTCAATATCTAATGGTCAGAGCATCATAAAGACCCAGAAACGTGGGAGTTCTGAACAGAGGACAAGAAAGAGAACATTGAAGCCAAGCTTGTGGCAGAGAGGAGGAGCAACATAGGTAGAAAGAGAGAGAAACACAGCAGACAAATTTTGCACAGCAGGCTGGGGTGTGGCTCAGTGTGAGTGCTTGCCTAGCATGTGTGAGGCACTGCATATAAATAAAGAAAGAAAAGGAAAAAATTGCACAGCAAGACCCGGTCAGAATGGCAGTTATCAAGAGTACAAGCAACAATAAGTGTTGGTGAGGATGTGGGGAAACAGATACACTCACTCATTGCTAGTGCAACTGCAAATTGGTGCAACCACTCTGGAAAGCAGAGTGGAGATTCTTTAGAAAACTTGGACTGGAACCACCACTTGACCTAGTTATCCCACACCTCTGTCTGTACTCAAAGGACTTAAAATCAGCATACTATAATAGTGATACGGCCACATCAATATTTATAGCAGCTCAGTTCACAATAACTAAACTATGGAACCATCCTAGGTGCCCTTCAACAGATGAATGGATAAAATAAACTGTAGTATATATACACAATGGAATATTATTTAGTCTTAAAAAAGAATGAATTTATCACATTTGCCAGTAAATGGATGTAATTGGAGAATATCATGCTAAGTGAAATAAGCTCATCCCAAAAAACCAAAGGCCAAATATTTTCTCTGATAAGTGGATGTTGATCCAAAATGGGGGGGTGGTGGGGCAAGGGAAGAATAGAGGAACTTTGGATTGGGCAGAGAGGAGGGAGAGGTGGTGAGGGGGTGTGGGAGTAAGAAAGATGGTGGAATGAGATGGACATTATTACCCTACTTACATGTATGATTGCATGAATGGTGTGACTCTGCAGCATATAAGACAAGAGAAATGAAAAGTTGTGCTCCGTTTG